TGGCGGAGGCGAGCAGCAGAGGGTCGCTGACGGGCGGCAGCTTCTTCCCAGGCATGGAGGCGCTCCGGGGGGAAAGGAGTCGGAACAGCATGAAGAGCAGCCCCATGACCGCCTTGAAAAGCCACACCTGGGCCTTTTCCAGCCGGCTCAGTGCCATGTTTTCACCGCGGGGGGAGGACGGAGAGTCAGCGGTTGTTCGGCCGTGGTCACGCCGGCTCTGTGACACTCAGCTCGGATCTCCTCCTGTCACACCGCCGCTGGACGATAAATATAAACCTGCTGAGTCAAGCTGCCACAGGTTAGTCAGGGTACAACCGGAAGTGGTGCTTTTGCCTACTTAACCCTTAAGAACCCGGACCTACTTTTGGGGAAATTAAGGGGAACATAATTTAGACTAAATAGACCACCTAGAACACATTTCTGACAAGTAACCCCCCCTATAGTGACATATGTCACATTGGGCTTTAATGGTAAAATAACTCTTATATAGGCCTAACTTCATTAATGAGGATTTGTTTGAACATTCTTTGAATTGAAGAATAAAGAATATATTAACTAAATATTATTTAATCAGCTAAATTAACGGAGCAGATCATAATCATATTTCTAATTGTGAATATATGTCACTCCGGGTTTACAGTGAAAGTTTAGGGTTAAAGTCCCGATATGACACCAGTGTCACAGCGATATTTATCTCATTTGTTTCATATCAATTTGATCAATAAATGTTTCCACAACAGGTTAAATGTAATAAAGGACATGTTATGTAAGCATTTTCATTCTTAAATGGCTTGAATTTGACCTTTAGCAACAACAACAAAAAGCTTTTGAAATGTAGCTTGTTATGTCACATGTATGGGAACACAAAGTCACATGACCTGGCCCATGACCCACCAGACTGTTCAGGGTGTGTCACTTTAGGGACTTCATGAGATAAAATAAAGGCTAAAGCTGTATAAGGAACTTTCCAGAACATTTAAAGTTCATGTGACACCTGGTGGGTCCTTATCGGTTAAATTCGAAATAAAAAGAAAAAATATATATGTTAACCCTGTACATTGTTTATGATTACTGTTCAATGTTTTCATCCACTTTAAGAGCTTTGGTGTGACAGCGTTTTGAAGTTATTGATAATATATTAGCCTCTCTGCTCCACACTACCTCTTTTTAAATGTGCACAGCTCTCCATTCTGAATATTTGTCCTATTTAATTTACTGTTCTCAGTATCTTGCCTATTAATAGCCTACTTGTGTAAATATGTCTTTATTTTCAATTTGTTATAATAGTCTTAATAGTTTCGATATGATAGTACTATTTTTTGCTCCTTTTTAACTCAAAGTCCACTTACTAATTTCTGTCTCCAGTGCTTTCTACTACATCCCATAATCTTCTCCAATGGATGGCCCAGTTGTCTTGGAGATGGCTCAGTTGACAAATGTCAGATATGTTGGAAGATCCAGAAAAGTTAATAAGTAGACCTTAAAGGTGGGGTAGGTAGGTTTGAGAAACCGGCTCGAGATACACTTTTTGTTATATTCCATGGAATGCTCTTAACATCCCGATAGCAATGAATATCTTAAGTGCTTTGACAAAAAATCCATAAAAAAATGTCATCTGTGGAAGCCGTAATACTGTAAAAAGCACGACCAATCATTTTAGCCGGTCCGGCTAAAATAACTGGATGGCCTACCTGCCTGTCAGCCTTCCATCTGTGCACAAACTTATCACGTGCCCTCATTGGTCATGTGCGCGTTCGTGTGTGTTGGAGGAGGGGCTCTGTAAGGAAGTAGCAGATTTCTTCCGGCTGTGTATTTTCAAATTCTAGCGCACTTCTCCAAAATTACCTACACCTTTCCTGTTCAGTTCCACATGTTGGAGGAACTCCTCACTCCAATCATCCAGAGGGAAAACACGAACTACCGGGATTGCATCTCCGTGGGGACACGTTTGATGGTTACGCTGCGATTTTTGGCAACAGGTATGCAAGCTAAAGATGTTGCTATATTTTAAATTGCAGCCAGCACTTTGTATATTATTGTATATTGTGCTTTAGTAGTAATACCGCAGTGTAATGTAGATGTACTAGTGTAAGTACAAAACCAAAGTACCAAAGTACTGCTTGGTTGCTTGAGAAATTACCAAGGGATCAATAAAGCGTTATCTTCTTCCTATAATAATGCATGTTAAAATATTTCATTATTATATGTTGTATCATTTGTCTGAATCTTCATAGTACTTAAAGTAATCAACTATCTTGTAAACTATAACCTGTAGTTTTGTAGCTAATGAGTGTTTTGTTCAGCTGCTTGTGTAGATAACTCAGTTATGTGTTTGTTAATATTTGCAGGGGAAAGCTTCAGGAGCCTTTCCTACCAGTTCCGAGTGGGAGTGTCAACCATCCGGCAATTCGTTCCAGAGACCTGTACAGCCATCTACGAGGTTTTAAAAGAGAAATACCTGAAGGTATGTGTGGATACTTACTAGTTTTACTGTGCAAACGGTATGTAATACAGTGAGGTCTGTAGGCATTTGAACAACATCCGCCCCCCTCCAAGAACTGGATCAACCTACTACAACTACAAACATACATTTTCCATTGTGCTAATGGCACTGGTCGACAGCAACTATAAGTTCTTGTATGTCGATGTAGGTTGTAATGGGAGGATTTCAGATGGTGGTGTGTTTGGTGGATGCTCACTGCAGGATGCCTTGGAGAATAGGACATGCAACATCCCTGCACCTGCACCACTTCCTGCTTCTGACGAGGCGGTTTGTTACCACATTGTGGCAGATGAGGCATTTCCCCTGAAAGAGTACCTCATGAAGCCCTATCCGAACCGCAGGCTAGCTGTAAAGGAACGCATCTTCAACTACAGGCTGTCGCGGGCTCGGAGGGTGGTAGAAAATGCCTTTGGCATCCTAGCCAACTGTTTTCGGGTCTTCCTAACCACCATAAACATTCAAGACACTGCCAAAGTGGAGGCCATTGTTTTGGCTGGCTGTGCTCTGCACAACTTCCTGCGCACAGAGAGCTGTAGCGCATACATGGCGGGAGTTGTTGACCAGGAAGGACCCGATCATGAAACTGTCCCAGGAAGCTGGAGACAAGACCCTGACCTACGGCAAGCCACCCTGCCACCCACCACCAATAATTCAGCTCGAGTCAAGCAGCACAGGGATGAACTGTGCCAATATTTTAACGGTATTGGTGCAGTGCCTTTTCAGTGGGATAAGATATAGTACCATCTTTTTCTCTCATGGTGGTTTGGCTCATAAAGGGGTTGTGTTGTGATATTATCCTCCAGCTTTGTGAAAGTCTATTCTTTGAAAGCAGATTTGGGTTCTCTGTTGATAATAGCTCATTCTGATGTTGTGTTATGTGTGTCTGAAGGTACAAAATAAATGTTTGCATTGCCTATCCTGCTATTTGTGTTTATTCTTTTAATCACACAGCGATAAGAAACAATAACTATGTGCCTACATAACTGTCAGTTGCAGCCCTAGCATTAGTATTGGTTATAGTAACAGCTACAACATTAAAATACTTCTAGGCAGATTGAGGAGGATAATGGGAGAATGAACAGAGGGGCAGAAACATCCATCTGAATAATAATAATAACTTTATTTGTATAGCACCTTTCATACAGGGGATTGCAGTTCAAAGTGCTTTACATCAGTAAAAAATAAGACATAAAATCAGTGTAAAACAAGCAGCAAAGCATAAAGTGGGATAAAATAATGCAGATATATTATATCAATATATCGATATTGTAATCCCAACAGCCCACCTTGTTTATGGTTTGATTCAGTTTAGTAGAATATAAAATACATGAATGATGAAAATGAGCACATAAAGTGCAGACACACTATACTATTCACCTGCATAGTCTTATGAATTATGGCTTCTATATTTTGCTATAATGTATTTTAAAGCAGAAATACACATCTGTGCCGTGTTTTCTTTTAAAACCAAACTGGTTGTCAGCTGTGGTAATATACCTTTCCAGCCTATCCAACATGGTCAATACAAAAGGAATGTGATCTGTAGTGGCCAACTCATATCAAAAGTCAATGTTGTCAAGAGAAGCGTGTGCATCAGCTGTGCATATACAGTGATCAAGCCATTATACAGTATGCCATGCTTCACTAATATATGTAAAGCTTTTATCAGGTATTAGAGATTTACATGACAGTATGAGAATATTATCGTCAAAAAAAATACAGTAAACATTTGCCCAACCGAGAGTTATCATCCGAAATGTCAGCATTGAAGTTCAAATGAACTGCGGTAGACAGTATGTCATGTACTTAGATACTGTACTTAAGGACAATCTTGAAGTACTTGAGTCTTAATCCTGCAACTTCATACTTATGCTCCACAACAGTTCGATGATGAAGAAACCATCATGTCTGAAAGGCTACATGTGAATAGAGGGGCAGAAAACCGTCTTGGACATTTACATTTCAATCTTGAAGTACTTGAGTCTTAATCCTGCAACTTCATACTTCTGCTCCACAACAGTTTGATGATGAAGAAACCATCACGTATGAAAGGCTCCTGTGAATAGAGGGGCAGAAAACCGTCTTGGACATTTACATTTCAATCTTGAACAAAGAACAGCGGTAGACAGTATGTGATGTACTTAGACACAGTACTTAAGGACAATGTTGAAGTACTTGAGACTAATCCTGCAACTTTAAGGCCCTGCTCCACTCCCATTCAGTGTACTTTATACTGCGCTACATTTATTTGATAACTTCACTTAACTTTGAAGATTCTGAACACTACAAAATGTAATCAAGACATATTTTATCATGTATTATTATAGGTTAAGATAAAATGTTATTGATCCCATGGTGAATTTCCTAAGCTACCCAGCAGTGTATAATGTAATTTAAATCAGCTCCTCCACTTCAGCTCTCTGAAGCAGAAATAAATCATTCTATGTTGTGTTATGTAATGGGTGTAGTATGAAGGTACGAAATAAAGTTTTGCAGTTTAGGTAGAAAGTGGTTTATTATCCAACAATATAATACAAAAAGTAAACTATCTACAAAAATACAATACAATAAAAATGCTATGCAATACAGAAAAAAAAATGTTATTGCCACAACTGTCTGTAAAAAGAATTAGACATTTTAAAATGAACTTTAAAAAAACAAAACATGTTTAGACAACACAGTTAAATGTCTAGAGATTTCTGTATGTAGTCGAGGTTTGAGTTCCCTCTAAGTGCCGGAAGAAGGCATTGTCCACGGTATTCAGGAATGGTTGAATCTCAGGAGGTGCCAACATCCGCAGTCTGTGCTCAAACACTTGGGCATGGGCCGTGAATACGTCATTCACTCTACTCGGGGCCAACTGTGCCAGAGTGTTGGTGATCCCATGCAGCAATGTTTGTGATTGGTCGGCGATGGACTCATCCCGCGAATCCTGCAGCATCCTGCGCTTCGCCGGAGTCATTCTATTGCTGGGTGTGCTTGGCCTCTCTCCGAGCGGTGACGGTGCCGGCGCCGGTGTGTTGCAGATGGTGGATTCTGCCAGGGGAGTGCAGGGCTCAGCATCAGTGAGGAAGGACTCCTCAGTGGTGCTGGACATGCTGGTTTCACTGCTGGTGCCACCGAGGGGTGATTCTGCAGCCTCCGGACGTTCCTTAAAAAATGTTAAATAAATTCACAGTTAGTTGGATTTAATACCATGGATTCTTAAAACTGTTTACTAAGCATTCATAACAAAACAATACCCTGAAATGTGTGTGCCATTAGTTCGGGGTGTGGTCAAGTGTGAGAGGCACATTGTAGAAACATTGTGATGGCTCTATTCAGATGCTAAAACGTACTTCTAGAAGATTCAGAACACTACAAAATATAATCAAGACATATTTTATCATGTATTATTATTATAGGTTAAGATAAAAGCATTATTGATCCCATGGTGAATTTCATAAGCTACCCAGCAGTATATAATGTAATTTAAATTAGCTCCTCCTTTACCAGCTGCAACATTAAGGTGATGATCACATCAATAATTATAATACAATAATATATATATATATATATATATATATATTATTCTGTTATTGTTATATTTACCACTGTAACCACCACATGAATGCAAATAATGTTTTTGTAATTGAAAGAAGCAAGAAACACGTATTTGTACTCAACAAATAAAATAGTTACCGTGATGGTGAGGTTCGAAGTACTCTCCTTCCTTTTTGTGTAGGGCTCTAAAAACTGCAGCCTGGTCATGATCCGCAGCTGTCTGTACTCTGTTCGTAGAGAATCCCACTTCTTCCTCAGCTCTTTCTCTGAAGCACACAAATAAACGATGTAAGCATTGTGGCTAGTTAGCATGTCCAAATCATATCTATATGCAGTGCCAAACAAGTAGCAACAGCTAGCAACAAGATAACAACAAAACACAAGGTTGAAATAACAAATTACATTTCACGTACGCTGGCAAACAATACAAAACCAACAGTTTCTGCTAAAGAGCTCAATTGATGAAAAAGGAGAATCTTACCTGAGAAACCAAGTTGAGATTCAATCTCTCGCCAGAGTCCGGTTTTCACTACTCGGTTCGAGTAATTTGTCTCTGTAATGTCGTACAGAGCTGGCCTCTCCTCGATCAAGGTGATGAGCAGTTCTTCGTTTCCTTCATTCCAGATCGCCATGATGACAAATAAACCGATGAGATGAAAATGAATAGCCGTCTGTGTGTGTGCCTTCTTAAATAGTTTGTTTACGTCCCTCACTTCCGTTTCGCTTCTCATTCGCTAGCTGAACAGCCAATCAGAGTGGTTTCTTGGTCCGACTTCCTGTGTCCGACGCATAATGTTGAATCGGCCGTGAAAGGCCAAAGTGCCTCCGGGATATAAAAGGTAAAGTTTAACAGACTTAGTTAAATGGATTGAACCTGTCCAGTTGTGGGTTCTGTTGTGCAAACTCAGTCATTTCGATCCAAATTGTGCAACAGCTAACTCACTGTAACAAAATGTGCTTTTGTCTGCAATGGGCTCCACAAACACTGAGTGAAACAGCTGTTTGCAATGGAGTGGCAGCCTCTATAATTAACGAGCCCATATGATATTAAACCATGATTAGTAAGGCTTAAAACTATAGAACAATATGTTTCTGCATGTGAATAAAATAAATAAACACAGACAGGAATCACTCCCCAGGTTCAAAAGGCTATTTCCAAGATATAACTACATTGTTTAATATTCCCCAAACTCAAACCCACCCTAAGACATGTCTGACTAGATAAAGAACATTAACATAATATGTAATCATTTATCAGCTCTGTTTTATGTCTCCTTTCTGATGGTATAAATCAGTGGTTGAAACATAGCACAACTTTGAGGTACTTCCTTTTATAAAATCCTTATATTACTTCCTACTTTTCGGAGGCAAATATTGTACTTTGTACTCCACTGCATTTATTTGACAGCTTTAGTTAGTAGTTCTATTTCGTCCCTACTGACCGCCAGTGGCGGTGCTTTTAGCACTGGATATGTCCATCGTGCGCATGCGCAGTACGAGTACCAATATCAACAAAGTCACCTGTGACCCACGTGACACCGGCTATATCAGAGGATCTGTTCCTTTCATCTTCTCGCTGCGCGAGAGTACCGTGGCTGCATTCTTGCAGCCTACAGCGTTCAGGTTTGAACGTTTGATCTGAGGGATTTCTCTGCATACTGATAGTCGGAGATAAAGTTGCCCTTATGATGCTCTTTCGAAAGTTCTGCTTGTGGCATTGTGCCCGAGCTATCTTTAGTATTTGAGTTCCCAGCTTTCGCTGCGTCTCATTTAATTTGTATGGAAAACCCACAGTGCCATAATTTGCCTGTTTTTTGTTAGGTGCAGAGAGTAAGGTAAGTTCTGGCCAGAGTTACTACTGTAACTACGGTCCTAGGCCATGCAACTACGGCATGGTTACTGCTGTAACCATGGCCTATGGTTCTTGCGGGCTGTTCTATTCCTTAGAAGCTAATTAGCTTCATTCTCAGCGACTGCAGTAGCGCTATATTGTTGTATTTACCACTCCTAGTGCTAGTCTCCTAGCACTAGGATGGGTAGATGCGGAGAACAATCTTCACTGTGTGTGCTGTGTGCTCCGCATGTGTGGCCATTCACCGGCCACGGTTACTTTTACCATAGTTACTACTGTAGCTACGGTTCTAAGCCGTTTAAGTATTGGCCATAGTTACTACTGTAACTACGGGTCTACGCCTTGTAAATACTGGCCGTAGTTACTACTGTAACTACGGTTCTAAGCCGCGTAAGTACTGGCCATAGTTACTACTGTAACTACGGTTCTAAGCCGCGTAAGTACTGGCCATAGTTACTACTGTAACTACGGTTCTAAGCCGCGTAAGTACTGGCCATAGTTACTACTGTAACTACGGTTCTAAGCCGCGTAGGTACTGGCCATGGTTACTACTGTAACTGCGGTTCTACGCCGCGTAAATACTGGCCATAGTTACTACTGTAACTACGGGTCTAAGCCGCGTAAGTACTGGCCATAGTTACTACTGTAACTACGGTTCTAAGCCGTGCAAGTACTGTCCATAGTTACTACTGTAACTACGGTTCTAGGCCGTGTAGGCTGGCCATGGTTACTACTGTAACTCCAGCTCTGTGCTGTTCTCTTCTTTGGAAGCTAGTTATCTGGTCTTAAACATTGTGTTTTTTGACTTGATTTCGCTTGATTGTTAGCAGCAGCTGCTTGACTAACACCTTGCATGGACCGTTTAGCTTCATTATTTAACTCAGCTGGTGAAGGCAGTGCTCTCGCTCCCGCTCCCGGTAACGTTGCCCTGTAACGTATCACTCTGGCTATTAGCAGCGGCCACTTGGCTAACATCTGGCGTGTTCGGCGTGCTGCTTGATTCTTAGCAGCAGCTGCCTGGCTAAGCTGCCCTGTTAAGCTTCTTCGTTTAATCTAGCCAGGTGTAGGCAGTGCTCTCGCTCCCGCTCCCTCTGCTAGTAGCGTGGGTGTAGGTCATTCACATCCCCCTCTGTGTTCGGCGAGTAGGAGCGCGCTCTACTCTTTCCGTTCAGCAGGTAGCCGGTGAAGACGGTGTTACCGCACCCGCTCCCGGTTACGCTGCATCTGGCATTTGTCTCGGACTCAACCAGTGAAGGCAGCGTTCTCGCCCCCGCTCCTGGTAGACGCTAAAACTGCCTTGTTCGTTAATCCAGCTAGGTGAAGGCAGTGCTCTCGCTCCCGCTACCTCTGCTGGTAACGTGGGTGTAGTTACATCCCACTTTGTATTCGGCGAGTAGGAGCATTGCTCTACTCTTTCGGTTCAGCAGGTAGCTGGTGAAGGCGGTGTTCCCGTACCCGCTCCTGGTTACGCTGCATCTGGCATTCGTCTCGAACTTAACCAGTGAAGGCAGTGTTCTCGCCCCCGCTCCTGGTAGACGCTAGACTGCCTTGTTTATTAATCCAGCTAGGCGAAGGCAGCGCTCTCGCCCTCTGCCGGTAACGTGGGTGTAATTACATCCCTCTTTCTGTTCGGCGAGTAGCAGCACCGCTCTACTCTTTCCGTTAAACAGGTAGCTGGTGCAGGCTGTGTTCCCGCACCCGCTCCCGGCTACGCTGCATCTGGCTACCCACAGAATGGCTCATTCATGTGGGCTGTCCCCTAAGGTGGATCGGTTAGCTGCCATCATGGAGCAGATAAAGCCGCTCCTGTTGGCCCTTCAGCCAGGGGCCGGTGTGGGGGCTACTAGCTTGCCGCCTGGCCCGCCTTCGGTTGCCACACCTCTGCTTGAGGAGGCCATGTCGCTAGCGGCTCCGGCTGAACCTCTTCTTGAAAAGGGGGGGGGGCGGGGCCCCGCTCACCCCCGAAGAGGCTCCCCACTCCTCTGCTCAGAGCTCTTTGCAGTGCACAGAGGACGGCTCCATGGCGGCCATTATTCGTGCGGCCCTGGTACGCTTGCAGCTTCAGGTTCCGCAGGCCGACCCAGGCTAGCGCCTTCTTCAGGCATAACCCTGCCCCCTTTCATTCCCACTGTTCCTCCTTTAGAGGAGTACCTGAGGGAGCTCCATGCATACTAGAAACACACCAGGGCCCTCTCCCACTCTGCTGCCATGCAGGATCCGGCGAGGGTGGGGCTGGGTCGCTTGCCATCCATTGAGCCTGCCATCGCCTCCCCGATTCTGGCCCCAGATGCCAGGCGCCCTTGGCCTCAGTGCAGGGTCACAAACGAGCTGCTCTGTAAGGCCTACGACACAGCGGCACGGGAACTCCCTCTCCCATCTGATACTGGCTGTCTCTACCTCTCTGCAGCAGGCTCCGGCTGAGCCTTCTTTGCTGGGCCCAAGCTAGGCAGACCAGGCAGCAGCTCTCGGGTCTTTATAGGCCTGTGCCCACTCCCAGCAGGCCCAGGGGCCCCTCTAGCAGCCGCACTCAGCCACCAGCTTACAGTGGTGGTCTGCGCAGGTCCCAGCGGCCCACTCATCCGTTGTGCCCCCGGCTGCCGGCCTTCTAGGCGGCCTCGTGCCTCAGAGCCTTACCGGCCTCCCCCCAGCAGCAGCTCAGCTACTGGGCTGTCTGTACTTCCGGCCCTTGGGTGGTTTTCACCTTAACCCAGGGGTACGAACCGCAGTTCCGGCCCCTAGCCTTCGGCCGGGCCAAAATGACAGTCGTCAGCGATCCGGCAGATGCCCTAGCTCTAGCCCAAGAGTTGTCCGTCCTTCTGCCCAAGGAGGCAATCGAGCCAGTAGACCCTCTGCTTAGCCCAGGGGGTTCTACTCTGCGTACTTTCTCGTGGCCAAGAAAGTCGGCGGATTTCACCTGCTCTTGGACCTCAGAGGAATCGACAGATTCCTCGAGGTGCTGCCATTCCATATGCTGACCGCAGCACATGCACAGGGGGAGTGGTTCGCAACCGTGGACTTTAGGGATGCCTACTTCCTCGCGGGCCGGGCAAGAGGGTGCCTGATATTCAGTTCCTCCGGCCCTTGGGCAGACTGACGGCTGCCTCAGCCGTTGGGCCCTTAGGCCCGCTGTCGTTGTGCCCCATGCAGATGTGGCTGATCAGCCTTCTCTTGGATGCCAAGTGGCACAGGCACAGGAAAGTCAGAGCGTTGCAGCGTTGTCTCCACTCTCTGTCACGCTGGAGGGGCAGGGTCTATCTCCTGATGGGCGTGCCCATGGGCGCCATCCCATCCCGCCAGGAGACCGTCACCATAGGTGCATGTCTCTTAGGGTGGGGTGCAGTGCGGCAGGGCAGGACCGCTCAGGGTCAGTGGTCTGCCCAGGAGTGTGCACGCCATGTCAATGTACTAGAGCTTCGGGCTGTGCAGCTTGCACTCACGTACTTTCTATCCCAACTGAGGGGCAAGAATATGCATGTTCCTTGGGACAGCAGGTACACTGTTGCCCAGACGGCAGTCCCTTCTAGAGAGTGGACGTTCTCACTCCACTCTGAATTTATGTGGCTGCTATTTCTGCCCGACATGTTCGGGTCGACGGCGCCACGGCGGGGTGCCGCAGGTCGGTGTCCCTCTTCCTGAAGAGGGGCTTTACGGCAGCGTCCCCCTAGCACCCCGAGGGCTCCGGCTTGGGACCTGCCCCTGCTGCCGGATGCCCTATCATCTCCTCCCTTCGAGCCCCTGGCCCAGGTGGGGCTTTGGTGGCTGCCCACGAAGGCAGCATTTCTGCTTGCCATGGCCTCAGGGAGGCAAGTCGGGGAGTTACATGTCATCTCCATAAACGATACATGCC